AACCTAGCTATTGAAAAAAGTTATTTTTAATCATGCTTATCTCTGGACTATATTTCATTTTTAATTTATGCTTTTTTTCCATTTCCATTTGCCACCATCCTAGGCCAGGGGATCATACCTCGTTGTTAAATTATGACAGTTTAGCAGGTTCTCTTGCCTCTAGTTGCTTCCCCATTTGAATCCATCCAGCACAAGACTTACTGTGTAGTTTCAAGGCCATCCACCTGGCCTCGTTTCTTATCCCTTCTCAGCATAAACACTATATGTGCAATGAACACACATAAACACACATATATGTGCCTTACTGCATGTTTCTGTCTTCATGCTTTTGCTCATACTACTCCAAGCCTAGAACATTCTTTACCCCATCTCCCCAAATCCTTGGAGTTCTTAAGGTCCGGCTCAGTTTTTGAGCTGCTTGTGGGCAAGGACCATGTTTAATACTATACTTCTTTTATATTCCAATCAGTACTTATCATAGTGCTAGGAACATAAGAGACATTTAGTCAATACACTCTAATTTGGTTGCCTGGTACTGATGATTACAAATGAACCTGGTTTTTCAGAATGCCTTTTTAATGCCCAGTTAGGCTTTATATTTGAAGAACTATTGGATGCAATAATTTTAAAAATATTTGTTATGATGATACAGTTTCAAACTCTGTGAAATATGTATAACAATGAGAAGAATGTATTCTAATATGTTTTATAATTACATTGTAGTAAAACCACAACTATCTCATACCCCTAGGGAATGAAAGTCATTTATGGTATGTGTGCATTCCAAACAGTGGAGGGCACATTGCCAACTCTTTTATTTTCCTTTGTAATGGAATGCTATAAAATGTACTACACATGTTATGTACCTGCCCTCTTAAATCAGTGTGCTGCATTGTCGCAGCAGATTCATGTAGTGGTAGCATGAGGCTTTGGGCTGAGGATCTTAGATTGTCCCTCCATACAATGAATGCTGCTCCATATGCTGAACCACACGGGTTGTATATGCTTATTGTGACACACTGATGCCTTTTGGGATACAGTTTTGAGATACAGGCTGCTTCCTTGGAGAGCTGAGCTTCTATCTTCAGTCTTTTGAACTTGAGCTCTCTTCTCAGTTGTCAATATATTTGCAGCACTCTACCCAAAATACCATTTATAATTTCTGTTGGTCACTGCTGCTGCAGTCTTTTTGCATTTCACTGCTGGTCCCTTCACACCGGTATGTGTACTCCACTACTTCCTTCCCTCTTACATTCTCTATTTCTTCTTTTTTTCTTCTTCATTATCTTGTCACTTCTCCCAGACTTTCCATTTTATATAAAAATGCTCTCCCCTTACATACCCTGGCAGGCAGTGAAAGCACTTCTTTCTTTTTGCACATCGAACTGACCAGGGCGTTGAATAGAATCTTTAGGTGCATTACCACTTCTCCAGCCTGCTCTGTTATTGCTGGGGAATATGGGCTCTCTCCCTGTTTTTTCTTTACTGCCAAACTTTTTGTTTGTTTCATGTATTATAATATTAGAAGGATATACTTTGTTCCACGGTAGAATCAGATCTGGAATATAATGTGTCATTCATTTACCAATGAGTTTTAACTCTGAAATACCATGTGGCGCAAGAATGATTTTTATCTCGGTAGTATCATGGTAGCAGAAATGTGGAGGGGACCATGTGTCATTCCGGTCATGATTTTATATTGTTTACTGATGAAATAAGTCTAAAGATATGTGTATATATACCTTTAATAATTAATTTTTTCATCAGTTTACTCTTAGCTCATCTCTTGATTTATAGGTCCCAAGGAATCCTGATATCCCCAATCCAGCTCTGGCTCAAAGGGAAGAGCAAAAAAAGATTGATGGAGCTGAACCTCTTACAGCAGAAGAGACTGAAGAAAAGGAAAAACTTCTCACACAAGTAAAATATTTTCAGTGGCTGAAATACTTCTAGTCAACAGTAGAAAGAAAGAAAATGTAGACCGCACTTACTTT